GAAGAGGGGGGGGGGGGGGGGGGGGGGGCTAAAAATTAGCAACTGTCCCCGGAACCTGGACATGAGGCAAAGGCTGCATCTGTGCCCAGTGGCCCAAACAGGCTGTGGAAAACAGTTTTCCACTCTGGCCTTTCACAGGAAAGCGGGGAAAGCCGGTTGCTTTTCCAAAATCCCTCTGTGGTGAATGCAGCGCGCCAGCCTCATTTCTCCAAATTAACAGGCCGATCACCTCCAAGCCACAAACATAAGTACTGCACCCTGCAGCCCCTGCAGCCCCCCCCCTCTCTCTCACACACACACACACACACACACACATTCTCTCTTCCTCCTGAAGTTAGGGACAATCAGGCACCCCTTCTGGCTTTGGCGGGCCTGCAGGGAGGTATCTGCGGGCATCGTGGGCGCCGGGTTGGGGCCCCACAGGGGGCTGTCATGCCTAATCACTGAGCCTATCCCAGCCAATGGAGAAACTCTGCACGGACGGCCTGACCCAGGGCAGCCACGTCACATGCTCTCGAGGAAGCCGGTCCTGCTCCGGCAGGCGTGCTTGGCTCTCTCTGGGGACCCTGCCTGTCAGCGCACCCACGGCAGCCATTTCCGTCTCGACCTCAGGACCGGCCGTTTCCCAGCCGACTCCACTTAGGGAGCTGAGGGGACGTCAGCCAGGCTTTTCTCTGGCCGACTGGGCAGCCCCGCAAGGGAACCAAGAGCATCGTTTCAAGAGCCACCGAGCCGCAAACCGGATGCCAAAATGATATGACGGACACACACTGAACCGGTGGAACTCGCTGCTACTTGATACAGTAACAGCTGTAAGGTACAGTGACTTATACGGGGGAATTTGTTCAGCAGTCACACGAAACAGCCCTCCTTCTAGAATTGAGAAGGGAAGGGAAGGGAAGGGAAGGGAAGGGGGCACCACCAGCAACTCATCAAGCGAGGGCCCAGCCCAGGGCCACCCTGGGCCTGCCGCCGCTGCAGCCCCGGTTCTTTGGAGGAAGAAAAGCCTGCGAGGCCACAGAGGCTGGCAGGGCGGCCTCCCATGACCGAGGGAAATCGCACTCCTGGCAGGTCCTGGGCCACCCGGAGGCACCTGGCTGAGCAGTGGGCGTGATGCGGGGGCCTCTCCAGCTGCCCCCCGGCAGCCACTGTGCACAGCACTCTCTTCAGGCAGGGGCCCTCGGGGGGCCTCTCCTGCCACCGGACGCTGGCAGGCGAGGGGCCCACCCCGCGTGCTGCCGGGGCTTTGGCAGGAGGGGGCGTGGGGGCCCGGGGCAGGCCTGCTGCATCCTCCCTCGCGGCCGGGTGCCACCGCGCTGGCAGGGTGGAGGCTTTGGCGGCGCTCCAGGCACGGCCTGTGGCAGGGAGGGGAGGGGCTCGCTTTCCCCGGATCCACGGGGGCCACACGCCAGACCAGCCCCACCCCTCCTTCCCGTGGCACAGGGCTGCCAAGGCGCAGCCGGGCACGGGTGCCGCGCTCGGGTGCCTGGCCACGCTCCGTCACGCCCGGCAGAGCAAGAGCAGCCTGCCTGTGACCCTTCTCCCTCCAGAGCCGCAGCCTCTTCCCTTGCCTGGAACTCAGGACTCATCCTGGCAGCATCATGGGCTTTGGGGCTGCCGGAATTTGCAGGCTTGACCCTTGCGCTGCTGGGAGGCGGAAAACGGGGGGGGCATGCAATGGGGCGGAAGTGGGGGGGCTTCTGCCCATCACTTAATTGGACACAGCTGCTGCCTGGGCTTGTCAGCGTTTCTGGGCTGAGAAGGCACACCATGTTCCCCGCCGTGCGCCTTTGGTCCCCACATCCCGTGCAACGCGCGTGTACACAGAGCTGACTGTACCTGCTCCCACTGACACCCCCACGTGCCTGCCTGGTCTTCCAGGTTTTCAGATCCCACGGAGGGAAGGGCCGCCGGCGCCAGCCAAGCCAGAGACCTCGCCGCTCCCCTCCCGCTGAACTGCCCGGCCACCCGCGGAAGGCGCTGCGAGGGCGCAGCTCCTCCGCTCAAGCAGGACCGGCCCCCCTTGCCGCCTGCTCGCGGGGGCGCTGCCCTACGGCTGCCCCCGCGCGAGCCCCCCCGGGCCGGAGAGGGCGACGTCGCCCGCTCTCCCCTCCACGCTTCCCGGGAAGCGGGTGCCCCGCGGTACCTTAACGAGGCGCCCGTTCGCCGCCGGACTGACAGCAGCAACCGCGGGCGCCGGCCTCGCAGAGCCAGACACGCCTCCTGCTCACGTGCAGAGTTCAGCCACGCAGCAGCACCCGCGGGCCGGGCCGCACTCTTCCACGGCACGCGCCCGCAACTTCGGTTCGCGCGCGCGCCCTCCGCGCGCACGTGCGCTCCAGCTTGCCGCCCCCGCAGCCCTGCTTCCCGGGCCCGCCGGGCGCCGGGCGAGTCCGGACGGGGGCGCCGGCCCCCCCTCTTCCGCTCCAGCTCTGCCCCCCGGCACCTCCGCCCCGCCGCCCGCCCCGCCCCGCCCCGCGCCGCCCGACCCCACCGGCTGCCTCCCGGGCTGCCCCACTCACCTGCCCCGGCCGGGCTGCCCGCGCCGCCCCTCTCGCAGCCTGCCGCGGGCGCTCCGAAGCCGCCGCCGCCGCCGCCGCCCTCCCGCTCCTCCTCGCCCTCCTCCGCCGCTCGCTCGCCCGCCCGCCCGCCCGCCTGCCCGCGCCTCACCAGCAGCGCAGCCCGCAGAAACGCCCCGCGCGGTTAACCGCTTCGCTGCTAGCCCGGTCCGTGCACACGTGCCAGCCCCGCGCGGGGGGCAGTCCCTGGCCAGGGGCCTCTCCGCCTCCGCCCCGACGCGACCCCCGCGGGCGGCCACGGGGAAAGGGAGCGGCGGCTTCTGCCCGCACCGTCCACGCCGTCGGGGTGCGACCCCGCAGCGGCGACGGGGCGGGCGGGGCGGCTCGTCTGCGTCCTCCGCGGCCCAGGGAGCCCTCGGGAGCCCGGGCTTGCTTGGCACTGCCCTCCCGCGGCTGGGGGCGCGCCAGGGCACCGCGGCCGCGCCCTCGGCCCGCGCCCCCCGCTTGCGCCCCCCTCCCCGCTTCCAGCGGCTCTTTCGGCCACTTCGAGCGGCGCGCCCAGCGCGGCCGTCGAGCGCGTCCCTCGCCGCGGCTGTCCGGAGACCCTGCCGCGCCGCAGGCCCTCTTGGCCGCGCCCGTCCAGCTGCAGCCCGCCGCCCGAACCCCCCGCGCCCCGGCCCGCCCGGCCCTCTGGCTCGGAGCTGGTAGAGCCAGAAGCCGCTGGCGGCGAGCGCGCACGAGGAGGGCTGCCCGATCAGGCCAAGGGGACTCCCGGCCCAGCATTCCCGCAGGGCAGCAGCGCCATCAGGCCCATGTTCCCCAGCGACTGGGCGCCCTTGCAGGGCACCGCGCCCAAGCACCCCCCGCACGCCAGCGCGCCTTCGCGTGCGCACACACCGGCCTAAGCTGTGTCGTAGCGCGCAAAGTTTGCACGAAGGGAGAGGGTGCGCGTGCACAGGGAGATCTGGCTCCCGTGAAATGACGAAATTAGCCAATATTTCGAGGGATTTGCAATTCAAATGCTGTGGATAATCAGGCTGATGCAGGACAACGTTTGCCGGAGCTAATCCGCTCCTTGCTGGCAGAAGCAGGCCACCTGGCTCTTGGTTTCACGAGGCGCGCGCAGGACGGGGCGGCTTGGCGGGGCTACGCGGCGGGGGGGGGGCGGTGCGTGAGCCTCCCCCGCCACGGAGGGGCCCGTGCGCTCCAGCAAGGAGGGGGACCGGGTGAAGGGGAAATGGGTCGGGAAGCGGGCGGGAGGGAGCTGGGCGTCCATTCTTTCCCCTGCCGACGGGGCGGGGGGGCTCTGCACCCCTTCTCTGCACGCTCCCCGGAGGGCGCTGGGCGAATTCGGGAGAAAGGGAACCTGCGTGCCGGGCTCCCTGTGGAGCCGAGGAAGCGGCTTTGGAGGGGAGGGGAGCGGCGGCCCACGGAGCCCGGTAGCCACAGCCGCCAGCCTGCTTCCCAGGTGGCCACGGCCCCTTTCCCCACCCCCAATCCGTGGGGCGCTTTCCCTGCGTTTGTCTTCGTTTTCTCCCCATCGGATGGCCGAACTGTCTCCAAAGGCGTAAGAGGGGCAGTCGGAGCTTTAAGCAAAAACAGGACGGTACGCTAAGTAAGCCCCCCACCCCCGCTTTGCTCTGCCCCCCCCCACTGGCACGGCAGCCCCCAGACCTTCTCTGAGGTAGAATTGCCCCCGCCAGCTGGAACGCTCTCACACCCCTGGCCTGCCTGGGTTGGGGGCACCTCTCCGGGGTTCCGGGGGGGACAGCCTCGCCAAAGGCGCCGGGGCTCAACTGGGGGGCCCTTTGCACACCCAGAGCAGTGCTCTTCCCAGGAGGCCCAGCCCTTCCGAGCCGCAGCCCGAGCGGGAGCCGGTTGCCACGGCCGCCCCGACCTGGATGGGCCCTGGAAGCTCACCCTGCCCCTCGACGTGGGGAAGGAGCCCTGCCATCCGTGGGCTGGCTGCAGGGTCGGGCCAGCGCCGCCCCCCGCCCCCCCGGGCCACTCCTCGCCCGCTGCAAACAGAGCCTGAGGCGCCCGCAAGCAACTCGAGCTAGCCGGAAAGCAGACAGAACGCGGAGCAGATGGTCGGCTGGAACCAGGAAGGGCCTCGAGCAGGCTCTGTTCTGCCAGCACCCGCGAGAGGAACCCGCCACCGCTCGGGCTCCGCTTGCCAGGAGCACCTTCCGGGTCCCGGGGAAGCGGGGGTGAACCGTGGCCCGGCAGCCGCGCGGGAACGGTGCTCCGGAGGCGCCCACCCCGCGCGCGCGCGCGCTCCCCAGGGACGCGCGGCCGGAGCGGGAGCTCGGCTGGGGCGCTTGCTGGCTTTGGCTTCTGCTGCCCTGGGGGGGCGGGGGGGGGGGACAGCGGGGGCTTCCAGCACCTCTCCTGGCGGGCCCAGCCCTGGGCCGCTGCTGCCCTCTGCTGGGCACTGGGCATGTTGGTCTGTGGGGAGCCGGAGTGCCACGAAGAGACGTCCAGCCACCCCTCCCCGCAGCACACCTGAGCGGGCACCGATCCCCCGGTGCCTGCACCCTGGAGGAGCAGCACCCCCACCCCCAGCGGCTCCTGAAGCACCCCTGAGCAGTTGCGCCCAGCTGGGGCGTGGAGGGGCGCCAGGCGCAGCTGGTGCCTTCCGTGCGCCCCCTGCTGCGGCCACGCGACGGCAGAGCCACGGGCCGAAGGGGCGAGGCTGGAGGGCGCTGGCCGGCCTCCCCTGCTCCCCTCCCAGTGAGGCCCGTGCAGCTCTGCAGGAGCCGGCGAGTGCACGAGGGTGTCCTGCAGCACCCGCCCCGGCGTGGCCGACACAGCAGGCACGGGGGTCGCAGTGACCCAGCAAAGGGGGTGGGCGGCTTAGCCAGAGCGCTTGGCAGGAAAGAACTCTGCTCGGGCCAATGCTCGAAGCCAGTGTCTCTCTCGGAAACGGCTCCCGCCATGGCTTCCCTTGAACCCGTGCACTCCGCAGCCAGTGCCACAACGTGGCTGTATGCAGGAAGACCGGGGAGGGCGATACATTTTCTGCGCTAGACTGTCCCACCGGCCAGGACTGCCTTCCCTGTGACCTCCGTCCTGGCTAAAGGACGCAAACGTATTTTCATATGGCCAGAACAGCCACAGGGGATTGCTCTAACAGTTCAGTTGCAGTTTCCATGTTGGAAAATTCCTTTTCAGCGCTGTTTTGTTCAAGGCAGTTTAGCAGAAAGGAAAATATTATGCAGGGCTGCAGAGTTTGGAGCGCTAAGCACGGCATCGGCACCTCCGGTGTTCAGGAGGCCCAGGGGAGCCTTGGTGGCTCTCCGGCCAGGGATGCGGCCAGCTCTTCCCGAAAAAAGCCTGCTCCACACTGGGGCACCTCTCAAATGGAAGGAGCCGTGTCCTGGTTCTGTCTGCCCAGCCCAAGCGAGTCACCGATCCAGGCTGTTCTGTGTCTGAAAAGGACTGGGCAGCAGGTTAATTATAACAAATTGCCATAATTAGCAGAAGGAAAATCAATGCAGGAAAAATCGCCTCCCTCCTCCCTCTTACTTTTCAACCTGGATAATTGCTTGGGACACAAGTCAGCATCTTGTGTCCTCTTTGATTCCTTGGATGCCCTCTCTTTCTGAGTCACTCACACGCAAACACACACACACAGCTTTACCTGACGCACACGGATGCCAGTTGAACCAGCTCTGGCAGAAAGGAGTGGTAGAAATACAATGAACACAATTAAACAACAGTCTGCTTTAACTTTGCACTAATAGGTTCCCCCTGGATGCTTCTGTTCCATTTCCGCGGCTTCACCCGCATGCGCCCGTCCCATTTCAGAAAGGCAGAGAAGTGAGTAGACACTAGAGAACCCACATTTTGAAACTGGTCTTGCTGGCGTGAGGAACCGGCCCGTGCCAATCACAGGTGGCAGCTTTGGCACGGAAGGGGAAACCGTCTTGCATAATGCAGTGCAAAATGGTTGTTCCTTTCGCACTGAAAAGGCTGCCAACTGCCTGGATGGCGGCATTGTGGAACTCTCAATTTCCATAGAAGCATTTTGAATTGAGTCAGGCACACTATTGATGAATTTCAGCCGCATCCCCAAGTATTTATCCGTAGAGCAGTCACAAATTGTGGATGACTCACTCTAGCCGTCCACCCGCCTCACTTGTTCTCCGCCACGTTGTGCTTGTTATGCATTCGCTTTTCTTTTTAAAAAATCAAAGTGTGCGTAATGGGAGGTTTGTCACTTTGCAATCTCGCTTTTATTGTTTTCATGAATGTCCTCCAACATCTGAAGGTCATCGCTGAATGCGAGAGCCTGTGTGCCTGCGCATCACTCACCTTTGTGGCACCCACCTCCCTCTTCCTCCCGAGCCCAGGGCGCCGTCCCTGAACGCACGTACACGGAAGCACGTCCTCATGACGCCGTGGGAGGCGAGCGTTACTCAAGGGCCGGGAGATGCTCTTGGCTTTCGCCGTGCACCTTCGCTCGGCTCTCAGATGACAGGGAAAGCGTGCGAAGAGCACGTGTGGAAAGCGCTTGCCGTGCAGCCAGTGCGCACACGGCACCCGCAGTGACTCCACTGCGAGGTGTGGGTCCTTTGCATGCGCAGAGGCGACTGAGGGGGGTGGGCCGTGTGTGGACACAAGTGGAGGCAGCCAACGAACGGACAGAGCGACACGTGTGCGGACCAGCGCTCACGGCCCGGCAGCGCACAAGCGGCAAGGGCCGCTGCCAGCCAGAGGAGCGGCAGAGCCTGTCGCGTGATGGAGACACCGGTATGTGATTTTTGGAGAGGCGTATCCCAATCAGAAGGCGCCAAAAGCAGTGCCAACACCCCGTTCTTTGTGGAGTGCAAGGCCCTTTGGGCAGAGACCACTTCCTGGGTTCGTACAACCACTGACATTGTCCGCGTGCTTACATGTGGCGCTCAGAGCCTGCTCGGGGCTCAGCTCTGCCCGTCTTAGTTAGCTTCTTGAGCCAATTGCCAAAGCAGAGGCCTAGGTAGGGAGAACGTGGGTGGGAAAGGACGGCGGCGGCTGGAAAGGCCTCCTCCGGCAAGCCAGGAGGCCCGTGCGCCGTGGCAGAACGCGTTCCAAGGCAAATGGGAGCAGAGCAGCCCCTTCCCATCTGTGCTGCCAGGCGAAGCGTCTGCCCAGGATGTCCGGCAAGAGGCAGGCTGTGCCAGCTGGTCGCAGAGAGGCGGCAGGATTTCCTGTCTAATGAGAACGGTTTGCAACGGGCAGCTCCTCGGAGGCGGCGCCGAAACACTGCGTCTCCCTCGGCATTTGCCTCGCGACACGTACCACCCGCGCGCTCCAGCGGCGCCCCTCTTCTCCCCGGGGAAAGCCAGCCACGCCACAGGGAGCACAAGACTCAGGAGGAAAGTGCGCCAGAGATCGGCTAGTGCCTCTCGGATGGACTGGCCTTTGCAGCACGAGGCGGCCGGTAGAGGAAGGCAGCTGACGGCTGGTGGGGCCCCAGTGCAGGAGTTCCCGCTGGCCAGTCCTGCGTCGCACCTGATGCAGCGCTGCGGGGGGAAGGCTGCCGCCGGGGGCCTTGGTTCCCCCCAAGCCTGGCAGGGCGTTTACTTCACACAGTGCCCGGCTGGACTTGCAGTCACAAGATGCAGGCATTTCTCACTTGCCTGGCTCGAGAAAAGGATTGGACAAATTCACGGACCAGGCTCAGCAGCTCCCAGCCACGAGGGATGCAAGGGAGTGCAGCATCGGGAGCATGAACAGGGGGTGCTGCAGCCCCACATGCGGCTTGGGGGCTTCCCGAGGGGCAGAACCGCAGTCCCCTGGCGTTGTTCTACTGCACCCGTCGGCCCTTGTGGAAAATCACCATGCGGCTGACGAAGGGCAGAAGCTGTGCAGCACACGCCCCGATCCCTCTCAAGGACTGCAAGGCTGGTCCAGGGCGCCCAGGGCTGGCAAGAGCACAAGCAGCAGCCCCCTTCTGCTCAGCCTCCCATGCAGCCAGAGTAAACTCCCCGACACACAAACCGGGCCCAGGGCTGGCTCCAAGTAGCCCCAAGCTGCAGGTTTCCTTGAGCCAAGCCGAGAAGCCCGGATTCACGGCCACCGAACAGCTCGAGTGATGCGGCTGAACGAGGCTGGAATGTCGAGCACTTGTACCTCTGCAGCAAGCCTAACACGGAAGGGGCCCGCCTGCTCCTGGTGCGCCCGCCAAGGGTCTTCTCGCTGGGCGCTGCTCAGGGCGATGCCACGCGCGATTTGTGGGCCTGCCCCAGCAACGGGCCACGTAGGAGACTGCTTTTCCGCTCCCAGGAGACTTGCGGTGGGGGGCAGGCTGGGCCCATGCCCGTCGTGCACCGTGGTTTGGGCGGTTAAATGACTGCAGAATGTGCCAGCCCATAAAGGCGACACCGGCCACCCCACGCGCTCCCTTCCCTTCCGTCGCTACACTAAACCTTCAGGTGACGCATCATCAGTTCCAGATCGCAGGAACAGCGCCACCTGGTGACGGCTGGCACACCGTCCACACTCCACCCCTGTGCTGGCTCCTCGTTTCCCTGGCAGAGCTGAACAGAACCAACCCAGCAGCTATCAGTGGATGGACGGACGGACGGGGCACTTCCCATCCACCTGCCAGGGCGACTGCCCTCCGACACAGCCCGGTCGGACAAGCGTCCCCAGGGGCCCCTCGGCTGTAGCCGCAGCTCGTTCCTGGTGGCTCTGCAGCCTTGGCAAGCGGCGTGCAGGCAAGCGAGAGCTGCACTGGCCCAACTGCGCCCAGGCTGGCTATCCAGCGCGCTGCCTCTGCTGGAACTCGGCTCGTTCGGGGAGCAGCTCCCAGACTGCCACCTCAGAAACGGCCGGGGGGGCCGGCGCGACGATTCTCTCCCACCCCTCGCAAGTTCCCCCTCACCAGTCCGCCGTGCTGGTGTGGCGAGTCAAACTGGGGGCTTGGGAGAACCCAGTCCCTGTGCTGGCCGCGAAATTCACTGCGTGAGGCTGGGCCAGTCACTCGTAGCCGAACCCCCCCCACAGGGCTGCTCCTGTGAGGATAAGACGGAGCTGCGCCAGCCACCCTGGGTGCCTCAAGCGGAGCAAATGTGGGCTCCAAGTGACGCAAGCACCACCACCACCTTCTGGCCCACTGAACCCCCAAAGTACCGTGCGAGACTTTCAAGCGAGGGGGCAATCTGGGACAGACCACACGCAGGCGGGAATGGAGAGCAATTAAAAGCACTTTCCCCTCCAAAGCGGTGCCAGTGGGGAAGAGGAAGCGACGCCGTGCTTCGCGCACTGCCACCAGAGTCCCGCGCACTCTACCAGTGGGCCTGCGGCCGCTGAGGACAGAGGAGGACGCGTGGAGAGCAGAGCCCCATGGGGCGCGTCCCTGTCCGATTTCCCCTCCCCAGATCTTGACACAAGACAGCACTGCAGTCCAAATTTACCCTCCTTTACTGAGAGGCCCTGAACAAACAGTTTATTTCTTCTTTTCCACATCCTGTTCTGCTGCCTCCTTGGCTCGCTTAGCCCGGATGCCGAAGAGCCGAGCGTTGGCGCGGGCCATGCGCAAGCTGGCAAAGGCTTTGAAGTTCTTCTCCTCCTCGGAAATAACTCGGGCCTTCTCCTTCTTGTAGACCTGGGAGAGGCAAGAACCAGAGGGTGACTCGGGGCACGTGCTGCAGAGCCACCGCTCTCCTTGCACGCACCAGAAGCATCAAGGCAGCCTGTGGCGATGGTGCCCCAAAGGCCACTCTGCGGTCACAATCCTCTTTTCACGGGCAGGAAAGACGCAGCCAGGAACACGCGCGCTCAGGCACAGCCATTTCCAGGGCCGAGCCTACGCGGAAGCCATTTCCAGCACCCCCTACTTAGCGTTGCTTGAGGGACTACAAGACAGACCTCCAGTGGCATAAACCCGTTGATACAGAAAGCTCTACATCGTTTGGGCTTGTCTCAAAAAGGCAAAGCAATGCACAGAGGGCAACAAAGTTCTCAGGGCGCTGGAGTCTTCTCCAGGAGGGAAAACAAAAACATTTGGTGTCTTTTAGCTGGCAGAGGGAGGGAGCGAGGAGCAGAACAGATTGATAAGATTACCTAGGATGTGGAAAAAATCTGTTTTCTATAATACGGAAATAGAACTGATCGTCTTTAGTTTTGGGAAAACAGGAAAATCCTTTGTACAATGTGCAACTGATTCTGGGAGTTCACTGCCACAAGATATGCTGGAGCTGGCCAGCAGCTGAGCCAGCTTCCAAAGGGGGAAGATTCCACGGAGGAGGCCAACCCTGTCCTCCGATATGGAGGATTTCCACGGCAGCCGGTGTGTTTTCTATATCCAGAGCCAGGCTTCATGCAAAGGCACCCAGGGTGGTTGCCAAGTTCAATACACAAAATGCAAAAGTGTTTCTCCAAACACTTAAGGAGCAGAATTCCCTCGGGCCAACTGAATTTCCCTTCCCTGGCCTGGGCTTCCTCACACCTGGTCAGAGAGGCCTGAAGCAACATGGCCTAGGGTTGAGCAGCCTGAAGGCCGGCGGCGAGTGCTGGGAAGCGAAGGCAGCGGAGGGGAGGGCCCCTGCTGGGGACTTCCTGGAGCCATCTGGGTGGCCTTTGTGGGGGAGAGTGAACCAGCAGGCCCCTCGCTTTGGCCCGGCAGCAGGACTATTCCCCTGCCTGCCTCCCGTCCTCCGGGAAAGGGTCCCTGCAGCTGGGAGCGCAACGTGCTCTCCAAGCGCTGACAGGCAGCTGGACTTGTGCTTTGCAAGGCTCTGGGAATGTCGTCCTGTTTTTCTGAATGGCAAGAGGCCAGTACAGCTGGGGCCTCCCAAGCAGCACGAACAAGGCCTGCCGCTGCGATTCTCTTGTCCAGAAGAACAGAACAACATGCACCGCTGCTTAGCGGCAACTTCAATGAATACTTCTAGAACAGCCACAGAACCGAGTCTCTCTTGAGAAACGACCCCACTGAATGCCTCAACTAGGACAAAGCATCTCGCTGCAAAACACGCGTTCCCAGGGAGCAACCGAGAGACAGCCGGTCACTTACATTCCTGATGGGCATAACTGGTCCAGTGAGCTGCGTGGCCATCTTGAGCTCCTCCGCCTGTGGGGGAAAGAAGGGCGACACTCAGCCAGGACGGACTGCTTCCTCCCACCTCTGGGCGACAGGTGAAGCCCTACACCCAGCTACGTTGAGCGACTGGGGGAGGGAGCCCCCGGGGTCTACCTGCAGGAGCTCTTTGGACAAAGAGTCCAAAAGTTTCCTTCTTGGCGAATCAGGTCCTTTTTTAAAAGTATTTTATTTAAAATGTACTGCCCTCCGGAAAAAGATGCCTGTCGCCTGAAGTCGAAAGAGCACAAGCGCTCTAACGGTTCATGCTGACCGTCGGTGTGACTCCCGCCCGCCCGCCCCTCCTTCTTCCGCACCGCGATGCCCCCAACACAGGCGGCCTCACCGGTCCCAGCAGGACATGAGGCAGGTTGCAGTGCACACACCTGGGTTGAGGTAACAACCCAAGGGGGGGGGGACTCTGCATGCCAGGGACTGTGCAATGAACCCTGATGCTCTCCCCTGTACTTACGGAACTGTCCCCCTTCTTGGGGGTCGACGGCTTCCTGGGGAAGAGGATGAGCTTGGAGCGATACTCCTTCAGCCGCTGCACGTTGGCCTGCAGGGCTTCCGTGGACCGGTTGCGCCGCCTGGGGTCCACGGAGATCCCGATCGTCCGGGCAAATTTCTTGTGGATGCCCGCCATCTAGGAGAGCATGGCAACATGAGCCCGATTTAAAAGATGGCCACGCATCACCTTCCCTGTCCCTCCTGTGGAGGCGTCACAGTCATCAGCTGGAAAAGGGTTCAAGCCAGTCATCATGGAGACTACAGAGATTCCGGAGACAGTGTCATCATCTGACTGTGGGCAGAACCATTTGCAAGGCCTGAGGAGGCGTATTTGAGCATTAAGCTCTTCCTGCCCAGGACAAAGTCTTAGGTGGGGCATTGTAACATTCCAGAATGGAGAAGAAACGGCACAGCAGGCAGGCAGCCAGCAAATATCTGGAGCAGCAGGGGGCCGGATGGAGCCGGGGAAGGAATGTGGCCTTCCAGGGAGCCCTCAGGGACTGGATTCTGCTGCTTCCAAGGCCTGAGGATCTGCACCTTGCATAGATCTTCTACAAGCGGCCCGCTGCTTGTGTCAGTTACAAGCACCCGTATTATCGTCTGCCCCTGTACTCACTCTCAGCTCCTCCAAGCTGAATCCTCGACCAGCCCGCACTTTCGTATGGTACCGCACAGTGGGACACCTCACGATGGGCCTGATGGGTCCAGATACTGGACGCGGAGCAATACGACGAGCCTTGGCCTGACGGGCCTTCCTCCTGCATGGAGAAAGCAGCCAAAAGGTCTGTCGACGCCCTTCCTTCTCTCCCGACAGACCTCCACCTGCAGCCCCTTGCAGATACGGCCAAGGAGAGGGTAAACAACCCCTTTAATGGAGTCTGGACTAAGCTTCCCGTGAGACTAGCTACAGAAAGCGACAGCCATCAGCTGATATGGGTTCAAAGGCTCATCAAAGCGGTACAGCGATTCCAGAGAATGTGCATCATCTGGCTGAAGCACTGGGACTTGCAGGGAAGCCAAAAAAGGCAACACTTGCATGTCTTTTGCGTTAAGCAAACAGCACCGGTTCTTCTGAGTATTGTGCAGTGGGCACGAACTGTGGAGGCGCAGCAAGAGACAAGCCCTCACCTGCGGATCTTCCGGGCAGGCTGGTTGAACCAGGTCGCCACTCGTCTTTGCCAGTCTTTGTGGAAATGGGGCTTCAAGATCATGCCATTCCGGCTGGGCGCCATGGCTGCCTATGTCCCTGAAAAAGCAAGCAGCCTCCAGTTCAGCTACAGTTCCAACAGCATTTTATGGCACACAAAATCGTTTATTGAGCCTTGCAACAGCCCTGAGAAGTATTTTGGGAAGAAATACAAGGGGGGGTGTCAATGCCCCCTGCCAGAGACTCAAGCTTGGTCTTCCACGCACAAGACTTCACCTACAATGCACCACGGTAGCCCAAATGAAGCACGAGGGCTCAGATTCCCTCCCAGTGCCTATGTCACGTGGCGTGCGGGAAGGTTACAGAAAATCCTCTCACCCCATTGATGTAGATGCCCTCCAGAAGACAGAAGAATATTTCCCTTTAATGCTTCCTGTGCTTATTTCCTAGATCAACAGCTTGTTTCTAAAGTTGCTAACAAGTAGAGTGTTCAATCTGAGTTGACACTCACGTATAATGTGCAAATTTTCTTTTCATTCATATACCCTAAATCAGCCTTCCCAACTTGTGCTGGACTTGAATTCCCACAAGCGGGCTGGAATCCTGGGAGTCAGTGGTCCAAACATTTAAAAAGCATCCGGCTGGGGAAGGCTGCCTCAAGCAGTTAACAGTTACACCCCACCTTTTCCCTTTTGTAAAGAACCTCGGGTAGCTTAGATGGCCATCCTCGTCTCCATTTTATCCTCACAACAGCAACCCTGTGAGGTAGGTTGGGCTGAGTGTATGACTAGCTCAAAGTTACCCAGTGAGTTTTACGGTTGACTGGGGGAGTAGAAGTCAGGTTCCCTGAGTCCCAGTCCAAACCTTGAGCCAATAACTATTAAATATTTTAATATTATTAGAAGTATGAACATTTTGCATTACGATGGCCGTGCATGACCCTTGTGGGGGGCTCAAACAAAGAGCAAAAGCAGTTAGAACAAGTCCCAAGAAAGGAGAAGAGAAGCACTACCTCAGATTTATCCACAGAAAAATAGGGAGCTGAAATCCCTCAGGTAAGAGACATGCTACAAAATCATCTTGAAAGCAGAGGTGTTAGCAAAGCCAGGGGTGACAATCAAGTTTGGGACTTAGACAAAGGCTTCCCCCATCTCTTAAGATGAGCGCCCACCTCATTTAGAAACTGGAGTCCTCAACAAAAGACTCATGCCCAGAGATCAAGCAAGCACCACCTGAGAGTCAATCTGCTGAAGCAGACCGTGGAGTTGCCCCTTGCTTCGTTTTGTACTTGACTACTCTGACACGCAGCAACTGCCTACAGTTCCTTCAGGGCCTGTTACCCAAGTTGCTTTCAACCAGAGATCTGACAAAGCAAACCAGGAACTCCCTATAATCCCACACTCACAGAACCGCCTTGAACAGAATGAGGCTATTGACCCGGTCCTTGACTAGCACAAGCACTCCTGGCTCTTCCCCAGGAAATCCGTCTGAGCCCGGGACCCACACACAACCGGCACATGGACCTCTGATGGGTCCATCAGATGGGTGCTGGCTGGCAGCAGCTTTCCTAGAGATAACACAGAAGGTTCAGGCCTGGGAGACCCCAGGACTATTTAGCCCACGCCTGCTCAGCACTACCGGTCAGGCCAGAGCCTCTATACAAGCGAGATTTCGCGCCCGTGAAGAGGCGTGGCCAAGGCAAGGAGCGAGCAATGAGCAGCCAAAGGAAATTATTTTATTTTTTATTTATTTTTTCCATTTTACACCCCGGGCCCGGGAGAGCACCTTCTGCACGGGCGCCAGGATGCGGCCGAGGAACGCGCGCGGCCGCCGCGCGTCGCGCAAGCCGGTGCCCTGCGAAGGCGCTGGCTTTCATCCCGCCTCAGGCCCGGCAGGCAGTTCTAGCAGCCGCTCCAGGAAGACGAGGAGGGAAAGCGGGCCGCGCCGCCCCGCCAGCACTGCAAGGGCGCCTCGCTTCCCCCTCCTCCGGCCCCTTTTCCTTGCATGCCGAGCCTTTTCCCACTGCGAGCCTATCGGGGCAGAGCCCGCCCCGTTCAACGGATCGCTTGTGAGCTGCCCGGCCAGCCCCTCTGGCTGCACGGCGGGAAAGGCGCCCCAGTGGCTGAACGAGCGTCCCGGGAATGCAAAATACCCGGCGGGCACCAGCTCAGCGAAGCCTGCGGGCGCCGGGGCCCCAGCGGAGGCCTCGTCCTCCTAGCCGGGCACCGGCCCGCCCGAGCCCGAGCCCAAGCCCGAGCCCCCGGGAGCCCTCTACCGCAGCCCCGAGCCCCCGTGGCCCGCGCGCCCCGGAGCAGGCGGCGGATGGCGGCGGATACTCCGCGAGGCCTCCGCGACACACGGACTCACCTCCCCGGAAAGAAAATGGCAGGCCGGAAAAAGAAAGAGGCGCCGCGCGGGATCCTGGGATATCTGCGTCGCAGAGTGTGACCCGGTCCCGGAAAGCCGCGGCGATTGGCTGGCCGCGGCGAGACACCGCCCCGCGAGGCGTGCCCTCCGCTGCCCGGGCGCCGCCTTAAAGGGGCCGCGCGCTGCCTGCCGCGAGCGCTCGGGGGCCGAGGGAAACCCGGGCCTGCGCCCGCGCCCCGTGAGCCGCCCGCAGCTCGGGCGCCGCGGAGCCGTTTGGGGCGCCGCCGCTCAGTGCGACGAAGCCGCCTGCAAAACACCCGGGGGAGCCGCCGCCCGCGCCAGAGCGGAGAGCAGGCCGGGCGAAGGCCCCGGCCCCGGCAGTGCCCAGCAGCCAGGCCGCCCCTCGCCCCGGGCACGGTGCATAGGAACCGCAGGCAGCAGCTCCAGGCGTGGAGAGAGGCCCTCCGAGCAGGCAGGCTGGCCAGATAAGGCGCGCGGCTGGACCGCTGCAAACCAGCCCGCCGAGTGCCGAGGCCCCTGGGCCACCGGCATCATAAAGGAACATGCACGGCCTTGGAGAAAGCGCAATGGACTGCGCACACCGAGAACGATTTACATTCCAGCCTGTGCTTCCGTCTTTGCACTACAATAGCTTTTAATGCGAAGAGACTCTGGAAGTGATGAGGCCAGTAACATAAAGCAAGCATTGGAGTGGTATCTGACTTCTCCCCCAGCAAAGTTGGTGGACAAACTACAAGCAGCTGCGATCCCAAATGTAAAACTACAGCAGAAGGCAGACGGAAAGTCTGGAAGAAGCGAGTAGAGTCCTGGTGGCCTTCCCCCCCCCCCCCCCCCAGCCTGGAACGCAGAAACCACAGGAGGCTGTCGACTGACCCTTAAGCGCAGCGCAGGCTGCAGCTGGGGGTCTTGCCCTTTATTTTCCCAAGGTACAGCCACTCAGTGGAAACAAACAAGCCCCTCCAGTGCAAGAAAGAGAAACCCACACAGACGCCCAGGGCTGGGGAAATGAATGCATCCTGCTGCTCCCGAATGCCTTTCCATATGATGTCGTTATGCAGCCAAACGACGAGTTACTGCCAGATTGCCGGGAGGGCTGTGGCTTGGTTTAGCAACAGCGGTCACTGGGTCCCCAGTGCGAGAAGGGCCTGGCATTTCTATGTAGAGACCGCAGCCTGGGGCAACAGACCACTAGATGGCACACTCAGACCAGCAGTAGCCGCCTCGGCCAAGGCTCACCGGGGGAGATGGAGAATCCGGCTGCCGAGGGAAGAGGGCTAGAAGACTCGCCTGCCTTCTCTCTGTGCTGGCGATGACCCGCCCCTCCCACACCCAGAGGGCTTCTCCTGGCCCCACTGCAAGGGAGAATGTCAGAAGAGGAAGCCCCAGAATTGCAAATGGGAACTCGGAGGGAGGAGTATCTGGACACGGGTTGTTCAGGGATACAGACGATAATCCTCATGGAACTAATCCTCCTCGCTGGCGCGGGGGTGAGGGGAGAGAATGAGGGAGGTGGTGCAGTCCGCACATGCCTGCACACTCGCGCTCACATGCACAGCTGCTGCCGCACAGCGGGAGGCGGCCATCCCGCCACCCCGCACCACCCACAAGCTGCTCTGGGCACACGCTCCGCTCGCTTGTCTAAAGGCCTCTGCAGGAATCGGGTTCACACTGCCCTGTGACTCCCCTCGAGGTCTCTTGCGAGAGCCTCGCCAGCAAGGGCTGCGCTCAGGGCTGGTGACAGAGCGCAGGGGAGTTCTGGGTCCAGCAAAGATTGCCCACTGCTTCTGCACCCCAGAAACATCGAGAGACGGAATGAGCACCAGCTCTGTCACCAAAGACACGAATATATTTGGGACCTGTTACTGCCACTGCTGTGACGACCGGCGGTTCTTGCACGTCGGCCATCAGCAAGACTCGTGCGGGGCAGAGTGCGGCTCTGCCCAGAGTGACTGCAAAAGTCCTCTTCCCCGGAGCCGAGTCAGATGTGTGGCGCCTTCCCAAGGGAGCCTTTGAGACGGTGCTGGTGACAAGGCCAGGCTTCCCAGCCAGCTCTTGCTCAGCCTCGGAACGAGGAAGGCTGGACTCCACTCGTGGCCTGGCACAGAATTCCAGCAGGGTGACCGGCACAGATGAGGCCGGGCCCCGCAGGAGCCTCCGGTGCAGTCCGCCTCACGAGCTGGCCTCAAACTGGGCTCTGGCTGGCCTCCTCCTCCTCCTCCTGCTGCTGCCGGCCGTGGGGCAGCTCGTCCTGGCCCGTGTCCTGCCGGTCCCTCTCAGCCTCCGTCCAGCTCTGAGGAGCGATCATTTTCTTGGGCCCATGCAGGGGAGGCCCTATCAGGGCTTCAATGTCGTCATAGCTGATGACTTCCTTCTCCAGGAGGGCATGAGCCAGCTAGACAGGGAAAAGGAGCAGGAGGTGAACCTGTGCACAGGCGCGTGCCACGAGAAGCAGCCCCCGTGCACACGCGGCACAGCCAGAGAGGACTGGATGTGGCACTGGGCCGCGGTGTGCTGCGGCCTGGCCCGCTGTCAGCCGAGGCGAGAGCCAGCTCACGGCAGCATGGGGGACGGCTTGGCAGCGAGGCGCTCTTGGCAGGGCCGGCCTTTGGCGAGGAGTCCTGGCCGCCTCGCCGCCTTCCAGTCATGCCACAGCGAGGGGAGGGAGGCGGACTTCTGCCTGGCTCTCGAGCAAAGCAGGCATCGCAGGCCAACGTTCACCTCCTGGCACGCAACCTGCACTCTCCATGGCAGGTCCCTTTGCGGGGCTGGGAAATGTTTCATAGAAAGATCAGGTTCGTGTGCCAGGAAAGGGAAAAACGTTGGCGAGACAAGTGCGCAATGTGCGAACGCCTGCAGTGAAGCAAGCGCGGTTTCTTCACGCCTGCCTGTGCTGGGGGAGCGTTTGGGCCCCACTGCCGCCCGCCTGCAACACGGCGGCTCGCTCCCTGGGCAGGCCACCCGGCGGCCTCTCTGCTCTCCCGGCCTCCCAGCGCCCGGCCCACTTGGCCGTTTGGCACCACAAGGCAAGCAGGGGGGCCGCTGCCCTCCCCTGCATGAGCAGCAGCCGCCACTTGCTGGCCCTCTGCACAGGGCTCCTCCAGGCAGGGGGTCCCCGCTGCTCACGGGATGAGGCTTGCCCCCGCGGTGGGACTCGGAGCATCACTTCAGCCTCGCAGGAACCGTGGGGGCCGCCCAGGCCAAGGGGAAGCAGCGCACCGCAGCCGCGAGCTGGTGGGCAGGCTGAGTGGAGGGCGTCCCTCCCTGCGCTGCTTCACGCCCCCCCCACCCCCCGCGTTCATCCTCTTGCTCTAGCGTCATGGCAAGGGTAAGCTTCCGTACCGTCTTCAGCTTCTCCCGGTTGTCCAGAAGCAGCTTCTCGGTGTGCCTGTAGGCTCGGGCCACCAGCATTTTTGCTTCCTGCAGGGGAAACGAGAGACGAAAGAACAGTCTGCGAAGCGCTGGGGGAAACAGGGTTGGGCCCCGGTAGCTACAAGATGCTGGAAGCATCAGACCCGTTCCTGCGAACGCTCTCCTGGGAAGCCTCCCCGTTCAGCAGGAAGCCTGGAGCGATGCCGCACGGAGAACAGGCCACGCTGAACAGAGCCAGCCCCATCGTGAGCCACTGGCGAGTTACAGTCCCGGCCTGTGCTGTGCCCTCGCCCTGCCCGGCTCCCACCCTGGCCGAACAGGGAGCAGGTGTTAGGCTTGAGGGTGGGGTGGGCATGGAAGCAGAGATTTCTGCGGCCCTTCTTCTGGCTGTGGGTCTATGTTTTGGGGAACACTCCCACGGACGGGGCACCTTCCCATGGTGCCAGAGGCAGCCGGGAAGCACAGGTGTGCGCCTCACGGCACAGGCCATGCCCGCCCTGAGAAGCGGCCTGCAACCAGAGGCAGCAAGCAAGCAGGATGTTACTTATGTGGCAGAAAACTCACGTGGTCCATGACTTGCTGGAGGCTGTGGCTGAACGGGCGCCGCCCGATGCCTGGGCCACTTTCCAGGTCCGGGAAGGAGAGGGGGCCAACAGCAGGCACCATCCCATACTGCTTCACCATGGAGTAGGCGATCTTGGTGACTTTCCTCAGGTCATCCTGTGCCCCTGCAGCCCAAGAGGACGGAAAGGGATGCGGGGCCGGTGGCGCCGGGAGCATCGTGCTCTTCCCCGGCCCTCTTCCGGCGTGATGCACACGAATGCCGCACTCGGGGCAAACCAGAGCCTGCAACACGCTCTCCTCCTCCTGGGTGAGGAAGGCCTTCCTCACCTGTGGTGACTTTGTTGAAGGAGATGGCTTCAGAGACTCTCCCCCCCAGGGCCATGCACATGCGCTCAAAGAGCTGGTCCGTGGTGAAGAGGTGCTGGTTCCTCGGCAGGATCTGGGCAAAGCCCAGGGCTGCGTTGGTGCGAGGAGCTATGGAGACCTGTGGCCAAAAGCAGCGGCAGCAGCAGCTGTGGATGAAGACTCTGGGCTGGGACTCTGAACCCCAGCGAAGCCCCCGACCCAGGCTCCGGGCACCCAGCGGGGCTACCTTCATCACGGCCTCCGTGTGCTCCAGCAGCCAGCCCACCAGCGCGTGGCCCGACTCGTGAAAGGCCACCACCCTCCTCTCCTCCTGCGACAAGATTGTGCTCTTCTTGGCAGTCCCTGCAAGGGAGGGTGAGGGTCATGGGGGAAAGGCTGCCATTTTCCAGGTCATGATCTATGGGACCCCCGCCCTTCCAGTGCAGGAGGGCACGAGAGGCGGGGCCTCCGGGCCGTCAGGGAGCCCCTCTGTGGCCAGCAAGGCCACGTGGCCCGTGACCGAGGAAAGCCCGCGGCCAGGCGCCTTCCCACAGTGGCTCTGCTCAAAAGCAGCCCAAGCCCGTGGGACTGACACGCGGACTTCCAGCTTTAGCCAGCTGTGTAACGCGAGCCTGCAGAGGCTCCCGGGCAGCAGCCCCGCCACACGGTCCCTGCCGCCCTGCCTATCGCCGCCAGACGCAAGGCGAGGACCACGTGGCTCGGCTCAGCCTTGCAGCCCAGAAACACCTCCCAGGAAGGGCCCTCACCTGCGATGACTCTCTCCACCGCATACTCGAAGTTGGAGGTATCGATGGACTTGTGCCCCTCCCGTGCAGCGTGGATCGCGGCCTCGTTGCAGATGTTGGCGATGTCTGCGCCTAGGAGGCGGCGGAGACACACAGACTTGGTCTCCAGAGGCCGGCGGGCCTCCGCCGATCGGCAGGCCCCGTCCAAATCGGAGCACGCTTGCTGGGCTGTGCGCCGGGGGTGCCTCCGAGTGCCCCCGCCCGGCAAGCCTCCCACACGGCGCCTGCGGCTGCCCGCCGCGCCTCCCCTCCACGCATCGTGACGGGGCGACCCATGCCCTCCTCTCTCGGCAGCCACTGGTGGTGCCAGAGCTGTGCTGGGGCGGGGTGGCCAGGCGGCGCCACGTGTGCCGAAAAGGCTGCCTCGGGCCACGCGCCGGCCACACTGGGGGCTGCGGGCCGGCCGGCGAGCAGCCGCTCAGACGTACCGCTGAACCCTGGAGTGAGCTCCGCCAGGCGCTGGGAATAAAAGTTGCCTGCCTGGGACAGCTTCAGGCCCTTCAGGTGCTGCTCGAAGATCTCCCGCCTCTCCTGCACAGAAGAGCACAGCGGTTCGCACCCTGCAGCTCGTGCCAAGCGGCCGCACAGGGCCTGGGGGCAGATGCCGGCTGCCCCTTCGGCTCCAAAAGCAGGGGTGGCAGCAGGGAGCCCCCAGGCCAGTCTCCCGTGGATCGCCCCATGGCAGGAGTGGGCAACCCCCACCTGTGGGCCAGAGGTGTCCCTCTGGGGTGCCCTATATGGCCACACTTCCTTCCTCGGCCCCACCCCTTCCCTCCCCCCCTCTCCCCAGCCACCGACTGCTTGACACTT